AAGCTGTAAACAGAAGGGGGAAGCACAGACTGGAAATCTGGTGGTGCTTTTGCCAGGAATAGTCTTACTGGCAGTGAAGGAGTTTTATGGGGGATGTTGCTTGTAAAGCTGCTAGCTACAGTGTACAGAAACTCATGATTTTTTTTTCCATTGTTAAAATATTAATCTGGTTTTGGTAGCTATCTGGATCTGTGCCAGTATGGGGCCTCTTTACAATAGTGATATATCTTTACTATAGTAAAGCAGCACTATTATCTAGTCATGGAATCAATGTTTGCCTTAAAAATATGATAGAAGAGGCCTTGCAGTGTGTATAAACATAGATGGAAGCAAATGGCTACTGCCCTCTCACATTGGTTCTCTTCCTCATGAAATAGCAGACAACATGTAATCATATCAAAAGGCATCGCTACTGGTACTGAAAATTGGGGGGAAGGGGGGGAATGACACGTAAATTTCACTGAGAAAGTAGTGCTGGAAACTATGGTGGGCTTATAGACGGCTATAAAAACAATTCTTTAGTTATAAAAGGTTGTTAGGGTTTGGGGACTGTAGAAAGGCTCTACATCATCTTCACTTTAAGGTTTGAAAACCAGGTCTGTGATGATGTTAAATGTAAAGAGAGGGTGCTGTAAGGGGGAACTCAGATACAGGTACCAATCCTCTAGCTATATTATGGTTTCAGTTGACTTTTGAGTGTTTAACATTGAAGTGTTGCTTAAGATTTATTTTATTGTCTGATTTTGTTTTGACTAATTTTTGTGCACTTGGTAAATCACAAACTCTTAATAGTAAAAAAAAAAAAGCCACTCAAACTTTTGAAGTGATTTTAATAACAAAATTATGTAGTATAATTAATTTTAAGTTTATTGTAACTGGTAACTAATTCAAATTTGTTACCTAGTACAATATAATTAGAATTTACTATGGATTATTAAATTAAAAAAAAATTCTAATGGAAAAAATAGGTAGATAAAAAGAACTTGGATTGGTTTTCTGTGACCAAGGTTTTTGTTGCTCAGAACCACATTTAATTTTTCCTGTGAGAAGAAAAAAAATGTTTTTTCTGCCTTCCTCTGGAGTGGTACTGAAGTAATGTTGATGATGTCAAGTGGGCAAAGCATGAATGGGTGTAGGAAAGAACACTTTTTCTTGGTTTCAGAATTTCGTTGCATCTTCTCTAGATGAGCTACAACCAGTTTAATCTTGTAAAAGGAATGTACTTATTGTGCAACAATATTTTCTATGCTTTAATTGCTGCTATTGTTTTGAAGAGTTGCGGGGATGAATCGCATAAGAATGCTAAATTCATAAGCCTAACATTAGCTGAAGGGTGCCAAACCCATCAGAATCCATTGGTGTGTGAAACAGGTGTGTTTGCATAGACTAACTGGGAGAGCAGCTCAACACCATACTCCTTTTCTCTCCTGATGGGATAGGGACTCCTATCCTAACATGTTAATGATGCTCCAAGCAACATTAATCTCCAGTACTCCCCCAATTGCATTTCTTTTCAAGGGGAGAGATTGTAAAGGGCACCAGTAAGAATACCAACAGAAGGATGAATCTAGAATGAGACTTGCTGCCAGAAACTGGGAAAGAGATAACCCTTTCAGGTGTTATTGCTTTCTTTATCCCAGAGATCCTAGATAATAAATGGGGTTTTGAAGTCTGTGACACTGCCGTTGTATCCAGACACCTCCCCTTTCTGGAAAGCTAGCAAAAGAAACTATGGGCAAATCTCAGGCTGACAGTTGGCATAGCTCCATTGACTCCAGTGAAATTATACTGATTTACATCAAATGCAGAAGTGGTGCTATGCTTGGATGGGATTCATAAGGGAGATTTAGGCAATTCCCTGCCACTGTAAGCACCTAAATCCCAAATTTAGAACCTCAAAACTTCTGTTCAGATGCTGCCTAGACTCCACCAATTACCTAACTTCTGCAGGTGGGCATACACACAGCAGCCTCTCTCCTGATGCTACCACCCACCTCTGTGCCCAATTCATGCCTATGCCCCAGTGGGATTCACAGACCAGACATTTCCTGCCAGTCTTGATCCAACATGTTCAGGGGCCACCTGAGTGCACTTTTACTGAATCAAGCCCCAAAGAAAAATCAGCCTCTTATATGCTCAGTAGCCTAATGGTCAGAACACTCAGGCTATGTATACACTGGCGGCTTGTGCAAGAAGTCTTGCGCAAGAAAACGTCCACACTGCCATGTGCGCGCTGTGCTTTTGCGCAAGAGCTCCCATGGCAGTGTGGATGCTCTTTTGTGTAAGAAAGCTCTGATGGCCATTTTAGCCATAGGGCTTTCTTGCGCAAGAAATCCCTGCCGAGCGTCCACACTGCCCTCTTGCGCAAGAGCTCCTGCGCAAAAGGGCTTACACCTGATAAAAAAAAGAGCATAACTCTTGTGCAAGGAGCCCTCTCTTACCATGTCGTACTGTAAATTTCCTTGCGCAGGAGCAGGCGGGCAGTGTGGACGCTCTGCAGATTCTTGCGCAAGAACGGCCGTACTTGCTCAAGAAGCTGTGAGTGTAGACATAGCCTCAGGGTGTTGGAAATCTGGGCTCAAATCCCATTCTGGCTGCTACATAGTGGTCTTTCCTCCTAGGTGAGTGTCTTAACTGCTGAGCTAGAAGGTATTCTTGTGGGAGGTTTCTCGCCTGTTAAAGCTATTGTGTGTAAAATACTTTGTGGGGCAAGGACTTGAACTTGAGGCACCTACATCCTAGGAGGCTACCCTAACTACCTGGCTATTGATTCAATCTCTCTGGTGCAATACATGTTTTTTTAAACTGTCAAGCAGCACAGAAAAAAATGCCAATCACTGTGATCCTGACAGTCATCAATATGAACAAGTTGCACCACTTATATTAGCATGCACACAGGGTCAGAAGACAGTGACAGCTGATTAGTTTTGCAAGATGTTTTCCTGGAGTGCCACTTGTGGGCTCAGGTAATGGCCCTAACTCGTGAAAAAGGATAGCAATGCAGAACTGGGGTGATCTGGGAGGAAGTTTAATCTCAATGAAACTGCTCACCAATTTGTCACAATAAAACAAAGCGGTTCGATGCCCTGACAAGGTAAGTGAACATTTTCCACGCCTTCTTGTGTGTCACTTGAAGAAATTTCAGATTAGCATCTGAGAAGGCCTCTGTTAGTCATAGCATTTGAAGAGTTTGCAGAAGAGAAAAAGCACAAGTAGCTATTGGCATGAAAACCATTATTGAAACACTGACAAAGTTGCTACACCACCACCATCATCAATTTTGGAATGCCATTGCCATCTTCTTTCCCCTAGCTGGGGTGTGCGTATTGATGGTGAAGTGAACCTTACCTTCCCCTTGCTGTTGGGTCCCTGTACTAATGCCAGGGGAGAGACTGGTAGTGAGTGGTTTAGTAACTGCTTGTGCATATATGCAGAATATCTTTGTTAGAGAAAATCATGCTATGATGTGTCTTTGAGAAGCAGAGGAGTCTTGATTAAAAGGAAATGGGCGAACCTGGAAGACATGCAGCACTGTTGTGTGTCAAGAGGGTGCTGCCCCTAGCTGATACAGGAGCAGAAGTGAAACCCTTCTAGCAGGTCCAAGAAAACCGCATTGCCTTGAAATACGTGCCAAATTAGAGCATTCCCTTTCATAGATCCACTTAGATATTTCTCTATAGCCTAGTTCTGGCCATTTACCTTCTAAAAGTAAGGGTAGATAAAAGTCTAGCACACCAATCAGACTGTGAGCAAAAGTAGTTTTGTTCTATGTTTGCTATTACAATGTTTGACTTCTGACACTCACCCCCACAATGCTATATCTTTAGGAGAAAGGGATTGACAACATAAGGGAGATTCATCAGGGACAGGAAGGGGTAGCACTTTAGCCCACGAGTGTGGGATTTGATATTTTAGGGAAATAAACCCTTTTGAGTTGTGTGACCAAATGGCATCCACACCAACATAAATGCCCACATGGAGCAAAGTTGTTTAAAAATCAGACCTCTGTAACATAGCACATGATACTGACTAATGGTGTTCTTCCAAAGCAGTTTCAGGCTGACTTAGCCCCTAGAAAGCCAAATGCAGTTTCTGTCTTGGAATTGAGACTTTTGTCCTAGTCGAGTTGATAAGCACTTGACAGCCCTCCCCTGCTTTTTCTGCTAGAAGTGGGAACAGGCCCCAGCTCTCCTGATGCTCACTCCTCTGCTCTAACCAGTAGACATGCTGTTCTGTAAGTCCATGGATGGGGCAGGGTTGCTATGAATATGTGGCTCTGCCTGTGTGAAATTGCTATGAGTCTGAAGCACAAAAGTGTGCACCCAGCTGTTTGTAACCACGTTTAATAGAAGAAGTAACAGTCTAGTTGACCTCAAAACAGTAGAGGGCACACTTGTGCAGCAATGCAGTATGGGATACTTCAACAAAAGAGTTAATCCAAAATACCCTTGCATCTACACAAATCTACTGTGGGGGAAAAACCTCATGTGGGAATAGTTATTTCATTTTGAAATCAGATTTAATTGATGTGGGATAAGACTCAGGAAATAACTCAGGAATGCAAAGCAATTTATTCTAAAAAATAACTATTCTGTGAAGACAAGGCCCCACGTTTATCTACTTGCACTGACTTCAGATATGTAGTCAGTTTATTGAGTGAGCGGCCTGGTCTAGATTAGGGAAAGTTTTAAAATGTTAGTGTTTTAAAAAATAGCTAACGGGTTAACACCTCATAGAAAATATTTTAAAAGGTTCAATATTGTTTAGCTAACTGTGGTCAAACTTTATAGGACTATTGAAAAATGGGTGCAGTCTGCCTCTGTACACCTATGTATTATCTATCGGTAATCAAATCTTTATGCTTAGCAATATATTATGGTTCCATGTATTTTTGAAGCCTGGGAGATAATGAAAATGACAAACATTTACTAACAATTTGCTCTTCCTGTGTATTCTCTAGATTTTTGTAATACTTGCTTTATTTTTTCTACTAAAACAAAAATTCACTCAAACATAAGTAGGTATTTTGTTTTATTTCATCAAATTATGTTACTTACATGAACACTGACATTTTAGTTAAGGTAGACCTTTTGAATATCATTATTCAAAAGATTTTTTTCCTGTTCCAGAAACACACAGATGAAATATAGATTTTGCACATTTAAATTAGCAGTTTTCACAGCTGAATAATAACGTACATCCTCCTTTACAACAGAAGGGAATAGACTTTTAGAATGCTACTTCCAATGCATTCATCATTTTAAAGAAACAGAGTCTAGGGAACTTAATGTACATTTTGGGCTGACCCTTGTTACGAAGTTAAAAAGCAAGTTTCTAAAAACATTGAAATGAGTTTGTGTATGCTTCATTTTCATTACCAAAGTAATCTCAGGTGAAGAGTACTCAAGTCTGTAAGAGTTAAGACAATAAGGACATTTGAAGATTTCATCAAAGAAGCTCATCAAACTCCTTGGACTTTGCTTCATTTGTTTTTCTCAATAATACTTGTTTAAGAGCATTGATCTTCTCATCAAGTTCAGCCAATGAATATTTCTATTTAAAAAAATACAATAGTTTACACATTGGAATTACTACATTGTTCAAGCACAACATCGCATTTTACTACAGGAGAGTCATTCCATTCCACTGATATTTCAGTGTTAAGATGAAAATAAATTCAGAAATTTATTTGAAAGCTGAAGAGTTGCTTATAGCAATCTTGTAACTACCTCAATTTAGAAGGAACAAAAAAACTGAATATTTGACTTCTCAGCAACAGAACAAAGAATGGTTAGCTGTCTAGTTTTCAATCAATTGTTAAACTAATGTAGGGTTAAGTATCCGACTTCTCAAAAATATCTGCATTTTCTACTAAATGATTCTCAATTCGTGCACTATTCACGTGTACACTCAGCTGAACTACTGGTATTTGAAGGGAACCCAGTAACCTAGCATGTAGTTAAGTACAACTATAAAGCAAGTACTCTTGTGGTGCATTTTGACAATGCTATGCTAAACATTTGAAGATACGCTGTAGTTATAAGCATTTCATAAACTAAGATTAACTTTTGATTATGACACTTACATGGGGTGGTTGGACCTTCCTCCTTTTGCCAGAATAATTCTAGAGGGAATAAAGATTAACCAGACTTAATATTGAGAAGCAAATTATAGTTTTT